GTAGTAATAAGGGTGGTGGTGTTATTATTACTAGTCATAGCAGCAGCAGCAGTAGTAATAAAGGTGGTGTTGTTATTATTACTAGTCATAGCAGCAGCAGCAGTAGTGGAAGTGCTGTCTCTCCATCCCCAGCTTGTACTATGGGGCCTGGCCAGAAGGAGCCCCTTGGCCGCAGCAGCAGCAGTGGAAGTGCTGTCTCTCCATCCCCAGCTTGTACTATGGGGCCTGGCCAGAAGGAGCCCCTGTGAGCGCTGGTGCAAGGGCGTGCGGGTGGGTGTAAGAATGGCAGCAAGGTGCTGATGAGCTTGCCCCACCTCTCTCTCTTCTGGGTGTGTGACCCTCGCCCACCTCCCCCAGGCGCTCCCTCCCCCACCCAGTGCTCACTGCACAAGAGCATCCTGTGCATATTGGTGACGGTGACGCTGAATCACTTCCTCTGCCCTGAGGGTGCTTTTTTGCTTAGGGATCCCTGGACAAGCCCACCCAGTGCTCACTGCACAAGAGCATCCTGTGCATATTGGTGATGGTGACGCTGAATCACTTCCTCTGCCCTGAGGGTGCTTTTTTGCTTAGGGATCCCTGGACAAGGGCTGTGACATGCATTCCCCTTGAGCAGTGGGTGCAGGCGAGCCTGTGGAGAGCCGTGCCCTGCTGGTCAGTGGATGTTGGCTCTGAGGAGCTGACTCACACCCAGTGCATGTGGGTTCCAGAGCTGACTGCAAAAAATCATGTGGAGGTAGATGTCTATGCAGGTGGCAAGGGCTGCAAATGTAAGCAGGGCAGGGCAAGCCTGTAGGAAATTAGGGAATGCAGTGGACCCATGTGCATTCTGTCTAAAAGAGGTGTCCACTTCTCAGCACTGTCTGGGCCACCCTGGTCAAAGCTTCTGGTGTTTCAAGAGAAGTGGGCAATCTTCATTGTACTGTAAGATCTCTCAAGTTTTAAATGTTGGCGAGTATTTCAAAGGCTTATAAAGTCTGGACAGGGCACGGCTAGAGGTGGACGTCACCTGTACTCCACCGTGCTGTGGTCCTGCTTTACGTGAATGTTATGGGAAGTCAGGGTGGACTGGATGCCCCTCGTGGTCCTGTAGATGCCTCAACTGTACTATGTAGGTCCCCAACACATAGGACAATACCTCACATGGTCCTGAGGGTGGGAGGCTCTGGGATCTGTGACTTGCAGTCCTTCAGGAGGAGAGTGTACATCCCTGTGAGTACAATCCACTCCAGGGCAATAAGCTGCCATAACACAGAACCCCACACAGGGGTGGACAGTGCAGATATTAAAAGGCTGTGCTGCCCCAAGGACGTGCTGCAATCTGCATCCCCAGTGATGCCCGAAGCATGCTAATTAGTATGGCCAATATCAGAAAAAAATAGTGAAAATATGGGCTTTTTTCTAAGCACAGGGAATGGGAAAAATGGGATTCACTGGTGAAATTAAAGGTATGTGAGATACGTCAATTGGCTCAAATACCTTAATGCTGTCCCACCCATGAATGAAAAGGGCATAAGAAGAGCAAGCCCTTCCCCTGTGATCTTGAGGCTGCCCAAGTCTGGGTCTCCAGATGGCCCTGTGTCCAGACACTGATTCGAGGACTCTGGCTGCCCAAGGCCCTGTCCTGTTGACATGTGTCCACAGGAGCTGGTGGTGGAAGTGTCTAACAGTGCGGAGAGTTGGGACTTCTTTGTGCTTAGAGGACAAACACAGGAAGTGCCCTTTTGTGCCCGTTTGTCAATAAGCGTCTCCTCAGTGAAACTCTGTCCATGAGGAAGAATTTGGTGTGAGACTCATTTTCATTATAACCAGGAAGCAGAGCTGTACAGGAGTAGCGAAGCCTCTCCCACCACAAATTTCTACCAAAAAGAATCTAAGAGTTGTGCCCTATCACGGCCAACTTGTTTGAGCCTTTCTTTCCAACTCCTGGACTGGTTTCTTCTCTGGGCATCAGAGGAAGTGGCTTCAAGGCAGCTGGATGCCAACTCTAAGAACCCAGGCAGCTTCCAGACGGACAGCAACTAGCTGAGAACAAGGGACCCATGAAAACCTGCAGTATATTGGCTAGGCAAGCATTCCCTGAGGTTTCCGTGTAGTCTCCCTCTTCCAGGAAGCAGGCTAGGATTTTTCTCAGCAGCCTCCAAGAACACAGGGCCTGGCCCTGGCTGCAGCTGGCCAAGGCTGATGATGCTGAGCCAGGCAGCTGGGGCTATGAGCCTCCGATTGCTTGTGAGTCACTAGCAGAAGGAACTGCTTCCAAATGATGCTGAACGAAAACAGCAGCCTGTCGTTCTGCCCCATGCTGGCGTATTTGGACATCAATATTTATTTCTTGATTCGGAGCATTGTCCTGTCCTGGATGAGTCGGGCACCACACTCATGTGTTCACCAGCCGTGTGGGTGTACCCAGCCTGGTCCCTGCTGGACCAGCCACCTGCAGGCTCTGGGGAGTGGAGGGCGCTGCTCAGAGTGCCTGTGTCCTGACTGTGGTGGGAACAGATGGCACAGTCATCAGGCAAATAAACTATAATTGGAACAAACATCAGAGGCTTGCAAATGTGGATGTGGGTATTTATAAAAGACAAGAGGAAAACACAACCACATCCATGACTGCTACCAACCTCGCTCAGTGAGTCTCCTCTGATTGTCCGGGCTTCTCAAAGAAGAGCTGGTGAGCAGGGTGCCTGTGATCAATGTCCAAACCAGGACAGTTTGGGGAGACAAATGGACAGCATGCATGATTGCTCCAGAACCTCAGGCAAAAGCCCAGGGACATGCAAGGCTCATGGGGTCTCCCTGCTCAGGAGCAATTTGGAAACAAATTTTTGCATGTGCCATCTTTATTTATCATTTGCTAAATATTCACTATGGGCCTGGCCCTGCCTGAGGGAATTTTATGCATTGTCACTGGCCATCAGAAAAGACCCCATGGGGTAGGTTAGTATGAGTCCACCATACAATGAGGAAAGTGATGCCAAGATGGATGTAGGTCCACCTCATGCTGGCCTGGGTCTAGGTCCTGGACCCTCCACTCCCTCACTTGGGGACCTGTTCTCTGTGAAATGCGGTGCAGTGTGCCTTCCAGAATCGAATGGCAAAGTGTAAGCAAAGACTCTGGCAGGCATGGTGGGAGCGCCATCAACAGCCACAGAGATCTTTCACCCTCTGTGGCCAAAGACTGCTGGGAAACTGCCAGGGGTACCAGACTTCCCTTCACACTTCTCCACTGAGTGAACTTCTGTTTTCAGCCAAGTGTGATCATGTGTGTGACCTCCTACAAGTCTATTAGAATTCCTGACTTTTTATCATCAGCAGGGGACACTGAGGCAGTCTCCATCTTCTTCCCATGGTGATTCCCATTTAAGGAATACATCTCATTGTCAGTTTGATACTGGTCCCTGCTCTGGGCACTAGCCTGCAACTATAATATGCACAGAAAAACTGTATAAATGCAACTGAACAGGCTCTGAATTGCAGAATCTTTAAAAGCAATTGCTCTGAATTCTAGAATCTTTTCAAGACATGGCAATTTTGGTGCTAAAAGGTAACAAAGTTGTAACCAAGGTGAGAATCTAGTTAAGTGAACATTTATATATTTAATTAGTGTTTTGCATTCTATAATTTGTGTGGAATCTGCACTATTAAAACACAAGTGTCTTCAACATTTGGTTTGGTCCAAGTGATGAATGAATTGATCACATTGTCCACAGGAAGCACAGTAAAATCTAAACTGGGGAGTCTGGGTCATCAAAGGCTTCTTGCCTCTGTGGAGTCATGTGTCTGTCATGCAGTATCAGATGTGCAGGTACACACCGTCCACTGACAGAACCTCAGAATTCCTGATGCTGCCACTGACAGTAGCTTTGCCCTCAGGGTGCCAACTGAGGCAGGGGGGAGACATCAGGGAGGTAAAGGGGGAGTCAGATTTAGTCCCAGGGCAGCTGACCTCCTAAATACCGGATCATACATGATTTCCTTATCCCTAACCTATCTTGTCCCCCAATTAAACCTCATGCTCACAGCACTGCTAGGCTGTCCCCTAGGTGGGGCAGCACACTGCTTTCTTAAAGACTCCAGGCCCAACCCATCTTTTCCCCTGGGGGAAAAGAATTTCTAAGAGATTTAGGGTGCAAAACATTGATTAAGTGTAAGTCTTCTTTATGTGTTCATTGAGACTCTCAACGTGGTTCATAGTCTGTCACATGTTAGTAACAAACCTGCATTGTCTTTTTTGTCAAAGACATTGTCAGAATTGTACTCAGATGTGGCACAGAATATGGCACAGGTCATGCCATGTGGTTTCATTCCCTGGGTTCCCTGGAAATTGCATATCCCAGATTCCCTCGCAGTGAAGTTGGGCCGAGTCACCAGCTCCAGTCAATGGCCTGTAAGCAGGGGTGACCCTTGTCATGTCTGTGTCTGAGGCACAGAATAGCCCTGTGAGTTCCATGCCACTCCTCCTTGCCATGGGGATCAGGAAGCCATGTGTTCCCAATGGCACAAGTCACCATGTGGGGGGTGCAAGAGCCACAGTGGACTCTGCCACAGAGAAATCCCCTTTATGTGGTAAGTGTGAGATGTTAGTGTTTGTTAGTACAGCACACCTGGCCTAAGTTTCCTAATACCCTGGAGACCAAACCCACACCCTCCTTCATGCATTCACCCCCACCCTGATACACATATGTATACACGTGCATGCACACACATTTGGCAAATTATCATTGTGCATCTTAACACAAGCCAGGTGGGCCAATTTCTCCCTTAGGCAGAGGGGACCCAGTGTCTGGGACCATGATAAGTTTAGGGACCCACAGAAATGTTTTCATTTTGATTTCCTTTCAAATTAGGAGAAAAAATGATATAAGAACAATGATACATCATAATGAATGCAACTTGGGTTATATTCTTCTTTATACCCACCCAGATGTGAAAGATAATTTTAGTATTTTTTTTTAACGGAAGAAGAAACTCATCAAGGCAAAGGTGCCTGGGGCCCATGGAGGTCATCCTGGGTCATGACCAGGAATAAAAACATGTCTCTTCATCCACCCCAAACACGCCACACTCATTCCTCAGAAAACAGGGTTTAGAAATGTCCATAGAACTGATCTGTGCATATATCGAGAGGGTTTATTTGACACATTTTCTGAGGCAAACCTTACCTAGCAACTCCATATTATATCTAGCTGGGCAAGTGGTTGTTCTATTTAGCAAAATATTCTGTCTGAAGGAAGTCACCAATGTGCCTTTAGGATGTACTGCATTCTCCTAGGACATTAACACTTAGAAATGAAAACTATGCTGCACACATAGATTGTCCCTCGATGAATTGGTGGGCAGGGTTTACAACTGGAACTTCTCTGTCAACACTTCTGATGTAGGGTAAGTGGGGTGGGGGGTTGGAGGTTCAAATTACCAAGATGCCAAACCATGGGCTAGCCAATACTTCCCAGGGAACTTGCACCTTCAAATACAAGGATACTTCAGAAAGTTCATGGAAAGATTTGTATTACCTTTTAATTCCATTTTCCCACAAACTTTTTGAAATACACTTGTATTTTCTCCTCCAGTGACCAGCCTAGAAGACCCTCTCCAAACAATGCTGCCCAAGCACCAGCAGCATCAGAACCACCGGGAGGGCTGGGGAAAACACAGATTTCTGGGGCCTCCCCTAGAGTTTCTGATTTGGCAGTTCTGAGACTGGGCCTGAGAAGGTGCTTTTCTAAAAAGCTCCCAGGTGATGCCCACACTGCTAGTCCAGGGACCCCACTTTGAGAACCACTCGTCCAGCAGTGAGAAAAGCTATCCATTCTACAAATTCATGATCAGGCTCAGGGGGTTAGAAAACATGCAAAACGCTGTCCCAGGGACAACCCAGCTTCTCCCCTACCGCAGGGTGTTAGAGAGGCGGTTGCCTGTTAATAGAAAGAGCAAAGGCAGACCCCTGCCTGTTGGAAGGAGCTTGCTGTCAGTGCAGGGCAGGCAAGGAACACAAAGGTACAAAGCTCAGGAGTAACGTCTGAATTCCGATGACCCAATGATCAAGTAAGTTCTGGGCTGTCAGCTGGGCTCTCTCAATTGCAGGGTGTTAGAGAGGCGGTTGCCTGTTAATAGAAAGAGCAAAGGCAGCCCCCTGCCTGTTGGAAGGAGCTTGCTGTCAGTGCAGGGCAGGCAAGGAACACAAAGGTACAAAGCTCAGGAGTAAGGTCTGAATTCCGATGACCCAATGATCAAGTAAGTTCTGGGCTGTCAGCTGGGCTCTCTCAATCACATGGCTGGCCCCTGGCTAGAATCCATCCCAACAATTTCTCTTCCCTGTGGTCATCTGAATTCATAGGACTGTTCTCCCAGCCTGAAAGTTATAGCCTTGGCAGAAAATGGAAACCATGTGCCTGGACCTGCTCAACATTTCAGAGAACAATGCTCTGTATCCTAATGCCCAGATGAAAGGGAATCCTTCCCCGTGGAGCTCCTGAAAGCAGCTCCTCAGCTCCCCCAGGCTAAGGAACCCTGACCACCTTCTACAGCATAGGAAAGCTGCCCTTGGGGTCAGAGCCTCAAGGGGCCCAGTCCAGGAAGAGGAGGCAGATTGAGCAGGCCCAGGGCCTCATGGTTGCTTCCGTGCATGGGGGAGCACCAAGCACGGGGTGGGGAATTTTCATTCTCTAGAATACCTGCATGCTGTCCAAGGTGTTCTGGCGAAGAGCAAAGCAAGACACAATTACAGGGAGAGGTTGTAAATAAAAGAAGGCACAATTCTCCACACACCAGCATTGCCCTTTCTGCTTTCAAACCAAAGCACGTTGCGCTACGACTGTTACCACGCTTCAAAGCATGCACCACCAACAGCACCAGGGACAGACCACAGAGGGACGGCCTTGGAGCGGCAGCTGGGAAGGCGGATTGAAGCAACACAGATGTTCAAGTCAATGGGATTGGGGCAACTAGAAGAAAGGAACTACCTTTCCAGCCAGGATATTATGCAAATTAAAGTGCAGTAGATAATTCAAGCAAGGGGAATCAAATTATTTTCCAGGGAGATGTATGGCCATTCAGAGGTCTGTTTCAGTCCTCCCAAGTAATATATTTTCATATTTGCTATTCATCATACTCATCCCTCCTGATATTCATTAACTAATGGATGCTTTCAAAAAATCAATTTTAATATATAGAATGATAATGATGAAATCTTTTCCTGTGAGAGGAATAGATCTTAAAAGGCAATGTGAGAGACACATATATTCTGTTTTAAGTGGCTGCTAATTCCCCTGGGACAAGGGACAAGGTTATCTTAAAGAGGGCAACCTTATCTGATATCTGGTGATCTTGGCCTTTGTTGATGGAATGCACTGGGAGGGGGTCATACTGGGGCCAACCCACTGTCATGCAACTGCCCCCTCAAGAGGCCCTTAACTGCATGACCTTCATCTACAGCAGGTGGAAACCTGACCTCTCACTGCACACAAAGACTGCGGGTGGCAGAAGCCTCTCCAGTGATCCCAGGTGCTCTGCTGCACTCTCTGCTGTCTACCTGCTCCCAAGGAGACTGGCATGAGGTCAGGAGCCAGGGACAAGAAGTGGTCACTCGTGGCATGCCACCCACGCTGTGGGACATGGTGGTCATTTCCCTTCGAAGCACCCACTGTCAGGGCCAGGGGTAAAGGTTCCTAGGGGGATCTGAGAAAGGCCACTCACATTGTGTCACGGGGACTGTGCCTGTGGAAGTGCCTCTGATGCTTTGATTTTCTTGGCACCCCTTTCTCTGACTCTGCAAATGACTCCCCAGGATTAGTGTCACGCCCTAAAAGTGGACCCCTAGGGCAATTCATCACAGGGCAAGACGTCCTTGGGATGGTCCATCCACCTTTTCTCCTAGGGCAAATCATCCCCATGCACATGGATGGGCCCACCTTCCCTGCTTTCCACCCAACAGGAGCAGACCACACATGAGACACACAGTTCTAACTCTGGCTTGTGTGGCCAAGGGAAAGTTGCTTAACCTCTCTGTGACTCTGTTTCCTCAAGTGTAAAAGTGGAAATCATGATGGTTGCTTGTGAGGCCAACGTGAGAGGATGAATAAACAGCATTTGGTGCACAGTCGCCACTTAGTAAATGTTACCTATATTTCTACTAGGCATTCGTGTAACTCTCCCCAACACACCCACCCCAGAAAGAAAGCAGGGCCCCCTCTCTTACCTCTAGCAGCTGCACAGCACCTTCATGTTCTTTCTTAGCTTCAACCTGAGCCTTTTTTTATGATAAAAAGAGAAAAAAGTAAACATTTAAAGGGGAGAAGAGAGAGAAGAATCAGATTAATGTTGAATGATGAGGGTGCGGGTCATTGTATTTCTCTTCCCTGCATAAGCCCCCAAATTCGAAGGGTCTAGATCAGTTCTCTTTTTTTCTCCCTGTTCCCTTTGGGCTAGACAGAATGGATTTTGGCTAGGTTTGATGTTCTTTGTAACAACTAGAAAGTGTTTTCCTAATCTGGCAGAGAATAGGCAGACGCTTGGGGTTTGGCTGGGGCATGAGAGCAGGATGCCCAGGTTCTGTTGCTGAGGAGGTGTCACACCAGGCAGACGGATGAAACCAGAGCAGCCTGGTAATTCTCCCAAAACCTCAGACAGCACCTTCATCCCCTTTAATGTCCTTAATTGCTTGGGAAACAAAACATAATCCTGTAAACTTGACCCCCAAATAGCTCCAGGGTCTCCTGGGATGTCACCAGGCCCTGAAGGAGATGCCATGGGTGGGGAACCCGAGCACCTACCAGGCTCTCAGCACCTCCAGCCTGCAGCAGTGGGGACAGCCCTCTTCAAAGTCCTGGAAGCAAAACCATCTGCCCCATAAAATAAGAGATTTTACAAATTTCACTAAAGAAATTTCTCAGAATGGCTGTTGCCTGGGTCAGATGGCAAATCCGTACACAACTGACATGCAGCACTATTGTTTCTTGTCCTCAGAGACTCCACAATTCTACATCACAATGACAGTAGATATCTGTGCATTTTTCTGCCCAGCATCCATGAGTGTGTTCTCCTCTCCTGGGATGAGTTCCTGAATTTGCTGGGGAGCTGCTGCCTCCCTGTACTGAGTAGTGAGTCCAATTCTACACTCTCCACGACTGGTTTACTGGGTGGGCATGAGGCCTATTTAGAACAATGAGCCTTTGCCTGCAAATGCTGGGAAAGGGGGAGGCCCCTTCCCATTGGACTTCCACCTGAGAGGAGGAGAGTTTGGAGCTGTGGCGGCCACCTTGCCACCACGAGGGTAAGGCTGGAAGGAAACCAAGAAGGAAGCCAACCCAGAGGAGGCCAGAGGGCAACCGAGTTCTAGTGGCACTTGGGAGGCCTCTATCCAGCTGTTTCTGAAGCCAGCAAGTTTGGGACCTGGATCCAGCCATATGCAAAACCAGATTGTCAGTATACATGCAAACACAATTTCCTTTTAGGGTTTTCTGTCACTCGAAGCCAAGAGTCTTAATGAACACAATAATCAACTGTTAAAAAATACTATGTCCTTCATTTTAAAGTTAAGGAGGCTGAAGTTCAGTAGGGATCTGAGGCTGTACCCCAAACATCTGCCTGCATTGTGTTGCCCTGGCATGGATGCCATGGAACTGGCTCCAGTGGTCTCACAAACATTCCCAATGAAGCAGAAAAACACATTTTAAAAGAGGATTATTTACTGACACTACAGTGCACCTGCCTCTTAAAACATTGAGCACTTACGAAAGTATCCATATCTTAAATTGAGACCTTACATTTAGAATTCTCAGTTTCTAGAGAAATAGGTGCCTAGAGAATAATTAGTGGTCGACTGTTCAACATCATAAATAAGCAAGTGAACATTATCTCAACAGCTTCTGCCTCTCACTTGCAAAAATCCGTGGGTTGGAGAGAGGGAAGAGCTTGGCTTCCCCAGCGAAGACTAAAACTGAAAGGCAGTTTGAGGTTTCTATAGAGTTCATTCATATGCATTTCATTCTCACATATTTCCAATGAGGTTTTTAAGAGCTGGGCAAGTGAACAGATCACAGCACATTAATTACACCATTCTTGAATTCAGCTCAATCGTCGGGTGCTTGAAATTGTTCCTTTCAAAGCAAAAACTGCAAGAGTAACAATAAATAACAGAATAGGAAAAAAAAAAAAAAAAGTAAAAGCAGAAATAGAATTTGGTCCTAATTTGCTGTGCAGAAAATAAAAGAATTTTAATTCAAAGCTCAATCGTCGGGTGCTTGAAATTGTTCCTTTCAAAGCAAAAACTGCAAGAGTAACAATAAATAACAGAATAGGAAAAAAAAAAAAAAAAACGAACAGCTAGGGAACATATAGGATTATATAAATAACACCACCATTGAGTCACTTGAATCAAAGATAGGTTTCAACTGGCAAGATTAAAAAACAACCAAAAATTCCAAAGCAGGCTGTTAAAACTCAGCCAAGTTGGCAATAACAACTTAGTTTCCGGCTTCAGATGAAAACCAGGAGTTCGTTTTCGTAGGCTACTTGCAAGCTGGGCCATTTGGGCAATCAGAATAGATTGTTAAAATTAACAGTTAAAATTGGCAGCACTGGATTCTTGCAAAATCGAAGCAACAGCTTAAGCGAGGCTCATTTCAGGGGCCCCTGCCAATTTGCAGAAAAGTGTGACCTTTATTTAGATACGACCTCCTGCAGAACAGTAGAACTCGAGAGGAACCATATCTCTCACAGATACCCACATCCTCTCGATGCCGGAAGAAGCGGCCTGTCACCCAAAGGATCAAGCATGCAGGAGGGTGGGTCAACACAGCAGCAGAAGCCGTTGTTTTGAGAGATGTGTGTACACAGAAGTGATGATAGATTTCCTTTACTGCCAAAACCCTGGACACTTGGCTTCGTTAGACTGGGTACATGACACTCAGAACAAGAAGCCACCCAGCACCGTGGTAACTGGGTTGGGATGAGGGATGCTGGTTAGGATGGAGCAGAGCAAGGGTCATTTATAGGTGATAGTTAATCTTAGCTCCACGGAAAAGTGAATGAGAATCATGGAACTATATTAGGGCTGGAAAGACTCTCAAATCAGGGTCCTAGATTTTGCTCTCAGCAGAGTTGAAGAGACTGATGAACATGTTCCAGGATTCCAGGAGCATGTCCCAGGAGGACAAACGATTGAGGCAGATGCTGCCCTGCATCAGGGTGGTGGTGGTGGTGACCTGCCTGCTGTCTGCACAAAACTGAAGCCAGAACATCCAAAGGGAGCCCTTGAAACTCAGACAAATCACTCTTCATGCATTGGAGGCGAGGTGAGCTTTGCTTGTTATCACACATTTCAGTAGTATCCTTAAAACTGGAAGCCATCAGTTGTCAAGTGGGAGGATTTTAAATAAAGGGAAAATCGGTTAGGTCTGCAGATCAATTTCAAATATGGAAAACCCTTTCCGCTCATACTACTGGGTTAGTATAACTGCTACCTGTTATAAGACAAGGCTGTAACCTGGACAAGAAACTAAAAATCTGAAGCAACAGGCGCAGCTGGACTCTAGGGCCGTGGTGTACCCAGAGAGAAGACCTGAGAGTTCAGAGGCAGATCTCACGTTGACCACGAGCATGCCGTCCAACCTTGGGTTCCTCGTCTACGACAGGGAGAAAATAGCAGTGTCTGTGCCCCACTGGGGATGAGGAGGGGTAAGTGACATGCTCATTTATTCACTCAACAGGCATTCATTGAGTGCTGATTGAATTTATCATCAGTTACCTCATCAACGTTATTTTGACCATAAATGGTGTCGATTGATGGAATCTTACCACGTTTTCTATTCCTTCTTTTCCCCAATGCTTTCGAGTATCTTCAGTCATTCAATATTTGTTGAGCACCTAGTATGTGTCAGGCAATGCCCTAGGACTGTGGACACTCCTCTCCTGGAGCTTACTTTCCAATGGGAGGAGACAGGCAACAAGCAAATAGACAAATTCGTGAGCAAGCACGAGTTGG